TAAAAATTAAAAATAAATTAAACTTTTTAAAAAAATTAATAGTAAAAGTAAAAAAAGCTTCATTTAGTGATTTCGCTTTCGATATCAAATTACCTTGAGCTGTACTTGATAAAAACAATTCACTGAAAACAATTACACTCAANCACTCCGGTAAAAAAAATTTTAAAAAAATAAAAGTTAAAATTAAACTATCTCTCTCTCAAGTAAAAAATAAAAGCAANCGCTCCGGTAAAAAAAAATTTAAAAAAAATAAAAGTTAAAATTAAACTATCTCTCTCTCAAGTAAAAAATAAAAGCAATAGTTGAAACATCTTTCTTAGTACCACTGTCGCAATTTTCTTTTGTCCCTCTTACATAAAAATTAANGCACCACTGTCGCAACTTTCTTTTGTCCCTCTTACATAAAAATTAAAAATAAATTAAACTTTTTTAAAAAATTAATAGTAAAAGTAAAAAAAGCTTCATTTAGTGATTTCGCTTTCGATATCAAATTACCTTGAGCTGTACTTGATAAAAACAATTCACTGAAAACAATTACACTCAAATATTATTCCATCCTCAACCCCAAATATCCCTTAATTAGGGGTGAAATTTGAGTGGGAGAACTTGAACGCAGGCCCAAAAAACAAGGCTTTGGTCGTAGTTTTAATATTTGGATTGGACCTAAATTGAAAAACATTAACCCAAATTAAATTTGGGTAATTCTCGGGTTGAGATCTCGGATTATCGGGTTCAACTCGATTATATATTCAAGTTCAACCCAAATATTAAATATGGCTCAACCTAAATATTATAGTTAAATATTGAGTCCGATATTTTTTTGATGTTAATTTGGCTATTATAACTTTGATGTTAATTTAGCTATTATGTCTTTTTGTTAAGAAATCAACAAATATACACCTAAGATCTTTTCAAAGACAAGCCTAGTAGTATCCACCTAATATAATCAAGTGGAACAAAAGAAACAGGAAGAAGATTTGGGTCCCGAGATGAAAAATGGAAGTCAAATTCATAACATGTTTCATTTTTCACTACCGAGTCTTATACTCCATTTGGTAAGGATGGACAGTACAAGAGATACATTTTTTATCATTTAATAATAAAAAATAAAAATGATACACGTTCTTTCTTTTGTTTTTGGTTAAATAGATGAAAAATAAAAATGATTACTTTTTTTTTGTGATTGCTAAGATTGGGGGTGATAATCGAATTATGTCGTATCAGATTCGTGTTGAGTCATAAAATTATGAGTGTTTTATATTTTTTGTTCACGTGTCAAGTCATTTTTAAGTTCGTATCATAAAATTTGTGTCGAGTTCAAGTCGTGTCATAGCGTTGAATTGAAAATTTTCACCCATAATTAAGATGAAAAAAATATTTTTTTTTAATTTAAATTTTTTTATTTTTTTTATTTTATTTTAAAATTATATATATATATATATTTATGATTGTATTTTTATATTAAATTAATATATAGATAATATATAGACAAATAAAATATATCTCAGCACAAATAATTATATGATAAAAAAAAAACACAAATAGTTATCTTTTTATCTACTTTCCTTTCAATTTTAGAGAAATTGATTTTAGTAACTTAGAAAAAAAAATTAATCCATTTATTTTTCTATCCTTTCTATTTTCTATCTAACTAATTTTTCATCCTATAAACGGAGCATTGACCTATGAGAAGGGTGCAAATGAAAAGGTCTAAAACGGCATTCCACCTTGTTGACAACAGTCAAACTAGTACTTTGACCTTCTCTGGGCCATTTTTCTAGTCTTCTTGGTGATCAAACTATGACTGAAAATTTTGGTGGGATGATTTCTACCGCAGAAGATGAAAAAGGAATGGAATGAATGATCAACTCTAGTGGACAAAAAAGTTTGAAAAAAATCAAAAAATACAAAAAGGATTCACATCATCTCTATTCATAAGTATTCAATTTCACCGTGTATGAATAACAGAATTATTAAATAACTATTTACTCTAAATATTTAAGTTTTTAGAGATGATTTAACTTAAGTATTTATTTATAATGAGTGTGACTATTCTCACCCCATTTCTACTTACACCCCGACTTTAAAATATTTTTTTTGTTTGTTTATCCCAACATGTATGATTAAACATCTGTTTTCTAACCCCATCTCACCCTTTATTAAAAACCCTAACATCCTAGCCTTAAAATTATATCCTCAAATTTAGTAAGAGAACCTAAAATCACGATTGTCTAAACCAATATATGAAAATTGAGATAATAAGTTAGTATTAGCTGAACCAATCAAGTTGATGAATTAATCATAGTCTTCAACAATTCCTTCGCAACCTCAATTGCCCTTCTTTTCGATCACATGACCGCAATATAAAATCACAACTCTTTTAATTCATTTATCATATTTTGCTTAAAGGTTTTTGCCATTCGATAATCAATATCATTGAAAATCTACTTCACTGTCACATTATGGACAACTAGGTAGTGACAATGGTGGATGTGGGGTGATGGAGACTTGGGGGTTGGGTGGGTTTGATGGCGTAGGTGGTGATTGTAGATTTATGGTTAATTAATCACTAGAATGAATATAGTATAGGGGTGGGAATGGATATTTTATGGTTAGGTATAGCCCTACTCATTTATAATTCAAGAAACCCCTTCGTGCTAAATTTTAGGATTAGCATGGGAAAATATAATAATTTGAATGAAGATGAAATTTGAACACAATAACTTCTGATGATACACAAAATAATTTTGTACACCACCTGTCAAGTGTGAATAATAAATACAAGAAAATTAATCATGGGAGATAGAAAGACAGTGACAATTTATAGTGGTTCGGTCAATTTGACCTACGTCCATTCTTCAATGGCTTTTGGTTGCCGGGTATTTTATTAACTCAAGGGAGTGGGGAGTACAATTTTTCAAGGAGAAGAAAGAGTCGTGTTCAGGTAAAAAGTGTGATCTACCCCCAAGTGTTGGTGACGCGTGCAATTTATAGTAGCCCCCTTAACAGGTTAGAGCTACTTCTCAGCAACTGAGCAACTATTTCAATGGAGCTCATAACTTCCTCTCAACAGGTGAGGTGGTTGAGGAGTTCTCCATGAGATGCGGTCAAAGATAAGGCGAGGGTGGACCGTTTTCTCTTGTGGTGCAGGTAAGGCAAGGGTGGACCGTTTCTTTCTGCAATGCAGGTAAAGACCCTACACTCTTCCTCTTGATGACGTAGCCGAACTGATGAGACTGGACTTGGACAGTATTGAGCTTAGTGCATCTTTATAAAATTGGACTCTTCAATTGAGGTTTGAGTTTTTCAAATAAATTGGGTCATCTTGGGGCTTGACCCATCAACTTTTATTCTGATACCATATCAAATAACTATTTACTTCAAAACCTTAAACTATTAAACGAAGTATAATTTAAGTACTTATACTTTTACGAGAATATGGTCCCGAAATTCATGGCTTTGTTGTGTAGCACTTGGAGTCGGGAGTATATTAAAATTCTAATCCCACTATTGACATGAACAAGAAAAAATACATTATAATGACATAGTATCTACATTTATTTATTTACAGATCTTTATAATAATAATAAACAATGCTGGATGTGCCTTGTGGACACCGAAATCAGTACTCTTTTTCTCATGCGTCCATTTAACGCAACTATTTCTCCCCAAGACCATTTTGTTTTCCTCTCCAAGACTTCAATTGCTTCTTTCGTCTTAAATAATGTATGAAGTGATCATTACTGTCATTTAATATTTAAATAAAATTCATGTTATCCGTTAAAGTTGCGTTTCAAAGTTGGGTTTCGTGCTACTTAGTGTCTTGATTCAAATATAGCTACAAACAATTTGGAATTTTCCAAGGTAAGTCAACCAATTAAGATTTTAGATTAAACTACTACATTTTAAATTTCGTCTAAATTGTAAAAAAATTGATGCGTGTTTGATACGAAATTTAAAATATGTAAAATATTAAAGAAATCAAATTTCAATTTAGACCAAAAAATATACAGCTTCCAACTTTTGAAAGATAAAAATTAAAGAGTAATCTTATTTGAACGTAAAAATATAACATAATTTGTTGACATGATGACGTGCCTTCAGTAGAATTATTTGATTAACACTAAGTTCCAATTTTTGATGGGGCACACAATCAATTCAAAGGTAATAGTAAATTAGATCAGCAAATTAAATTAATAAATTAGATCCCAATAACATTGCTCAAAACAGTAGTAATCTCGCAGTTATTTCAAAAATAAAAATTTCAAGGATAGATATTAATTATTAGAGAGGGGGTAGTATTTTATCCACTTCTTCACGGGTAAAATATTTGGTGTGAGGATCTTCTTTATGATTAAGTACACTTGATAATTATAACTATTGATTGTAACGTGAGTCTCAACATTTGTTGAAACTCATTTCTTATTTAATAATTGTGATTATTAAGTCTATTTTTTAAGTTTATGTAGTATTACTTTTGCATATAAGGCAGTTATATTTTTTACGAGTAGTGTTACAAAATTCAAATGAAATCTAAAAAGTAACAATCTAAATGCATATTATCTCTTGAATGAGTGTGTCTCATCAATTTTTCAGTGGGACCCACTTATCTCACATTCATCCAAAGAATAATATGCATTTCAGTTTTAATTTTTAAATTTTATTTGTGTTACGTAGGATTTTTTATTTTTTAAATGGATAGAATAATAATTATTAAGTGGAATTCACTTGATTATGTGTTAATTCGTAATTGAATGAATGATTACAGCAAATAACAACAATAACTTGATGTCAGCTTTATGCTTAATATTTTCTCTTTTGTCCACCCCAACACCCACGGCACCGTTAAATTACCAGTTCAATACCTTTAAGTAACAGAACCGTCAACGGTCATCCATCTTCACCAATGTCATTTATTTAACACATCCAACCAAACACAACGTCTTTGCATAGTCACACCAACACCAACACCAACACCAACACCAACACCAACACCAACCATGTCTCTGTTCTCTTACCCTCTCTGTCTCCGCTTCTTCACTCTCATCTCTACAACCCCTCCTCCATCCTCCGCCCAACGACACCCCAACATCTCCGCGTTTTCCTCCTTAGCCTCACCGTGGAGTCCTGGCCTGGACCAAATCCTCCTCTCTCCAAACACCACGTTTGCCGCTTGGTTTCAACCTCTCCCCACCTCTCCAAACCTCTATAACTTCTCAGTTTGGTACCATGACATCTCTGAAACCACCATAGTCTGGTCCGCCAACGACAACTTACCGGTCAACCGCTCTTCCACTCTCTCCATCACACGCTCCGGCGTGCTCCAATTAAGCTATCCTTCCGACCGAAACTTATGGCCTTCAAAACCCACCGGGAAAAACACCACCAAACTCACCCTTCGTGATGATGGTAACTTAGTTTTCGGTAAATGGGAGAGTTTTTCGTATCCAACCAATACAATTCTCCCCAACCAAAACTTCAATAGATCAACATTATGAACGAAGAATGGGAAGTTCAAGTTTATTGGCTCCAGACAACTTGTTTTTGTTACAAATGTTAGTTACTTCACTACAGATCGATTTCTGATGCTGGATGACAAAGGAAAAATCGATCAAGAAAATGGTGCTTCATTCATTTCAGCAGATTTTGGTGCTACCCGATTGAGAAGATTGACTCTTGATGAAGATGGAAATCTCATACTATATAGTTTTGATCCAAATTTGGGTCAATGGACTGTTGTTTGGCAAGCAATGAATCAACTGTGTAGAATACGTGGTACGTGTGGTCCTAACTATATATGCCTGTACGATGGTTTGAACTCTACTTCTTGCTTATGCCCGCCGGGGTTCCAGCCCGTTTCTGGTGACGGCAAAGAAGCTTGCGAAAGGAAAAATCCGGTACCCAACCGGGAAAGTAGCAAGTTTTTACGTCTAGACTATGTGAGTTATAGCGATGGGTCATACAATCCAGACATTCAGGCCCAGAATTTCTCAACTTGTGAAGCCAAATGAAGTATGATGGTAGGCTGTATTGTGAGCTGCTATTGGAGAGGCTACTATTTGGGTACTGGTCTCCTGGTACGGAAATGGCCACGTTTCTTCGGGTGGGTAGATCCGATACCAACGAATCCATCTTTACCGGGTGGACAGATGTGCTCGAGACAACATGTCCGGTTCGGGTCAGCCTTCCCCACCCGCCAGAGGAGCCCAACACCACAACCCGGAATATTGTGCTAATATGTACTCTTTTTGCAGCGGAGCTTATTAGTGGAGTTATTTCCTTTAGGGCATTTGTCAAGAAGTACATAAAGAATAGGGACATGGCTCAAACCCTTGGGCTTGAACTTTTGAGAGCGGGTGGGCCAAAACAGTTCGGGTATGCGAAGCTTAAAGTTGCTACCAATGATTTCTCCAAATATAACATTATTGGAAAAGGTGGGTTTGGGGATGTTTATAAACGAGAATTGAGTGATCACCGGGTAGTAGCAGTTAAGTGCTTGAAAAATGTTGCTGGCGGTGATGCTGAATTTTGGGCTGAGGTCACAATTATTGCCCAAAAGCACCACCTGAATTTGGTAAGGCTATGGGGTTTTTGTGCTGAAAAGGCTCAAAGGATACTAGTTTATGAGTTTGTGCCTAATGGTTCACTAGACAAGTGCCTGTTTCAAAGTGTTGGATCTTCAGAAACCCAACAACAAATGGCTCCAAATTTGGAGCGTAAACCGATACTTGATTGGAACATCCAATATCGAATTGCTCCGGGAGTGGCAAGAGCAATTGCTTATTTGCATGAAGAGTGCCTAGAGTGGGTACTACATTGTGACATCAAACCGGAGAACAGACTTTTAGGGGATGATTTTTGCCCAAAGATTTCAGATTTTGGGTTGGCCAAACTAAAGTAAAACAAGGACATAATGAGCATGTCAAGGATTCGAGCGACCCGGGGATACATGGCGCCTGAATGGATCAAAATAGATCAGATCACATCAAAAGTTGACGTTTACAGTTTTCGAATGGTGTTGCTGGAAATTGTGAGTGGGGTAAGGAATGTTGAGATACAAAGCTCAAAAACAAATGGTGAGGATTGGTATCTACCTAGGTGGGCATTTAATAAGGTCTTCAAGGAAATGAAGTTGGAGGACATTTTGGACCATCGGATCAAACAAAGTTATGATAATCGGAATCATTTTGACATGGTTAATCGGATGGTGAAGACCGCAATGTGGTGCGTTCAAGATCGACCCGATATGAGGCCATCAATGGGGAAGGTAGCTAAAATGCTATAAGGGCAGGTGGAGATTGAAGAACCAATAAAGCCCAAAATTTTTGTAGCACTCAGAAAAAAACTTCAAGACACTTGTCTCCACCATAACAGGACAAGTGACAACAGTAATCAGTTGACATGAAAATGGAGCTCGATAAAGTTCAATTGGACTGGTATAGATAACAGTGACAAGTGCGACGCCCTCAATCACGATACTGCATCAGAGCGAGATGCATCTCCATCACGTTGGAAGTGGCAAAATGGACCTTTTACAAAGGTTGGGCATAAATGGAATCGCAGAAGTGTGGGAGCAACCTCGGCGAGACTCGCCTCCCCCGCTGTGGGAATGGTATCCTCAACCTATTGAATGTCGTTGCTCGATTGGGCCACTGGACTAAAGAAGTGTCCCCACCTAAGGACATGGGAGTGTGTCACTCCTCAAGGGAGAATTTAGCAATAGGGGCGGATGAGCATTGGTTGTCAATCTCGGTTTGGGACAGCGTCTCGANGCCTCCCCCGCTGTGGGAATGGTATCCTCAACCTATTGAATGTCGTTGCTCGATTGGGCCACTGGACTAAAGAAGTGTCCCCACCTAAGGACATGGGAGTGTGTCACNATATTAGAACTCTGAATACTTTTAATTGAATCAAACAGTCATAATTTGGTATTAGAGTCGACAATTACATCTCTGTGAGAGGTGGAGTGTTACAGTTACAGTGCGCATTCAAAAGCGTAACATAAAGTGACAGTGTTAGTAAAAGTTAAATAAAAACCGGACTTTGAATTAAGCATGACCAGTGTCGTTTGGTCCAGATCAGGTCAACGACCAATTTCAAGACGTATCAGTTTGCCATGAGCTCTTTTAGTTTTGGGCCAAATTTTATCAGTTAGACCCTCAAATTTTTTATTATTTTGGGCAAGATTTAAAAAGTAATAATATATCGTAGAAAATTCTGATTTCAGTATCATAATTTCTATTAGGGTGGAGCTAATCCCACCACAAATATCCATTCCCACCCCATTTAATTCTTATTATCAAACTACTTAGTTCACTCCTATACTCAATCCATTAATAACTAAGCACACTTCATGCTATAAACACTCTTTTAATAAGTAAGTCCACTTTATATCTTCTCAAAATTAAGATTTCATTCATTATCTCATCTCACACACTCATAAAAATATTTTTTTCAATATAGATTTCTCTAATGAGAAACAATTTAATATTGCTTCTCGATTTAATTCTATGTTTGATTTTATGTGTGTTGTGTGAATTTTTATTATTGTTATTGTATTTTGGTAACTTTGTCAAGTTTAATAATTTGATTTAGGGTTTGTGTGAGTGTGTGTGTTTTTACATTCGAATTGTTTTAAAAATGGCAATGAAGGCTATTTACAATAGCAAATTCGTTTCGTTTGGCAAGCTTGTGTCATTTGTGAACTAGTGTTTGTGAATTAGAAGGCTTGTTTTGTATTTTATTTTTCCGATGAAAGATTTTGTTCTTTTGTTTTCTTGATTTTGTTTTTCTTGTTTTCTTTTTTTGATAAATTTTTATTTCTTGTTTTTATAAATTTCTTATTAAAGGGGTGTCTATAGCATAAGGTGGACTTAGTTACTAATAGAGTGGATATACAAGGGTAGGCATAGTAGTTTATTAATAAGAAATTAAATGGGACAGAAATAAATATTTTTGGGGTGGGAATAGTCTACGTCACATGATTTTATGTTAGTTAGATTCCAATTTTTTAATTTTGATATATTTGGTATTATTAAGAATTTTGCTTCCATTTTTAAAATGATTAGACTTTTAACATTCTTATTATGTCCTATAAACTATTCAATCAATAATGCATATCTTTATAGTTATTCTCAATTTTTTATGTGGATTCAGAATGTGTGCATATTACTCATATAAAAAAAAGGGTAATTTCTTTGTCCCCTTGTTAACTGTTGTGTCATTTTTTTCATTTTAGATGAGTATGAGCAATAGCCTATAGAAAATTTTTGTGTACTTAATTTAGTGACATTATCTGATGACTTGATGAATTTTGCCCATTGAATTGATGATATGCCTTAACTAATAGTGGGGATCACTGTCATTAGATATGATGGAGAATGATAAGCCAATACTAGCTTATAATTTGGGAAACAGCCGTGAGATATTAACTAGAATAATACACAGAGAGAGAGTGAGAGAGCTTAACCACAGAACTAAAAGAAAAAAGTTAGTTACTAGAACATCCAATTAACAAGATTCATATACAAATGCAATGCAGTCTCTCNACCACAGAACTAAAAGAAAAAAGTTAGTTACTAGAACATCCAATTAACAAGATTCATATACAAATGCAATGCAGTCTCTCTGGCTTCAATCTCTGTTTTGATGGTATATCAATATCTTCAATCCATCATCTCCCAAATTGTGCTGCTCTTCATTAATTTTCCTTGCTGATTCCACAACAGAGGGTCTTGGCCGGTATAGCTCAATCATCAGTAATGTAGGTGTATTACACAAGTCAGATGGAAGCTCTTTGTGACCACTACATTCATCCAACACTAATCGTTGGCGGCAAGGAAATGTATTACTTGAGGCAATCCATTGTTCAAGATCCATATATTTAAGTTTCAAAAATTTAAGTCGACGAAACTCGCCATCAGGTGTCTCCCACCCTTGTCCTTTGAAGGCATTATATGTTAATTTGAGAACCTCAAGGTTGGGTAACATTCCAATGGTTGACATATCCTTCCAGTTTGCACGGCCACCTAATAAAGTTAGCTTCTGGAGATTGGGGGGAAACATACACATTTGGGGAATGCTTGATGGTAAAGAATTCAACCTCCAATCTTCTACCTTCAGTGTCTTAAGGTGAACTAAATGAGCTAGATCTGGAAAAGCAAGATTCCGGGACTCTGATAAAGGTGTAAAAAGCCCAAGTTTCCTAAGATTTGGAGTCATTTGCAAGACATTCTTACTTAAACTAGAAAGACATAAGGTGGCAATGGATTGCAGGTCATTAAGTACATAATACCCCCAATTACAACAATGGTTTTCAAATTCTAATGGAGCTAAAATACGTAGATGCCTCAATTTTTGCATCCTCCAAAGACGAGGTAGAGTTACTTTGCCCCCTGCCCTTTTACGGAGAATAAGAGTTTCTAAGTTCAGGAGATTGGATATGAATGTTGGTAGGCTCTCAATAAAGTAAACTTGAAGTGCCAAGTACCTCAAATGAACCAATTGTGATACAACCACAGGAAACTCTTTCAAAGTGATGTCCCATGAATCAAACACCCTAAGATGTTTATAAATGGATATTTTATTTAGAATACGATGTGCATTCCAACCAGTGTTATCCAAGGAAAGAAAATGATCAGGTTTGACAAAGGGCATCCCAAAAATATCAGGGGCATCATGAGAAAGAAAGAATGGATAGTTATACGAGGTAGAACCTGATGAAGAAGGGATTCGTCCATGCTGGTAAATTGGCAGTTGAAGTTCCGTCGCTTTTCTCAGGCACAAATCATGCAATGTATCATGGATACGACATGCTTTGATTTTACCATCAGAACTTCTCTTGGAAGGAATTACTTTTAGTAAGAGGAAAAACGCTATGCTATAAAAAAAATATGTATTTAAATTTTATGAGTTAAAATATAAAATTTTAAGTTGATATACAACAAAAAAATTTATAATTTAAGGTCAATTTCATGTCGTTTTAATCAATACTAAATAATATTCAACATGAAATGNATAGCATACTTTTTTCTAAACTAGCATTGATAGAAATCGATTAAGTCTATCGAGTATATTAGAACTCTGAATACTTTTAATGAATCAAGCAGTCATAATTTGGTATTAGAGTCGACAATTACATCTCTGTGAGAATTGGAGTGTTACAGTTACAGTGCGCATTCAAAAGCGTAACATAAAGTGACAAAGTGATAGTAAAAGCTAAATAAAAACCGGACTTTGAATTAAGCATGACCAGTGTCGTTTGGTCCAAATCAAGTCAACGACCAATTTCAAGACGTATCAGTTTGCCATGAGCTCTTTTAGTTTCGGGCCAAATTTTATCAGTTAGACCCTCAAATTTTTTATTATTTTGGGCAAGATTTAAAAAGTAATAATATATCGTAGAAAATTCTGATTTCAGTATCATAATTTCTATTAGGGTGGAGCTAATCCCACCACAAATATCCATTCCCACCCCATTTAATTCTTATTATCAAACTACTTAGTTCACTCCTATACTCAATCCATTAATAACTAAGCACACTTCATGCTATAAACACTCTTTTAATAAGTAAGTCCACTTTATATCTTCTCAAAATTAAGATTTCATTCATTATCTCATCTCACACACTCATAAAAATATTTTTTTCAATATAGATTTCTCTAATGAGAAACAATTTAATATTGCTTCTCGATTTAATTCTATGTTTGATTTTATGTGTGTTGTGTGAATTTTTATTATTGTTATTGTATTTTGGTAACTTTGTCAAGTTTAATAATTTGATTTAGGGTTTGTGTGAGTGTGTGTGTTTTTACATTCGAATTGTTTTAAAAATGGCAATGAAGGCTATTTACAATAGCAAATTCGTTTCGTTTGGCAAGCTTGTGTCATTTGTGAACTAGTGTTTGTGAATTAGAAGGCTTGTTTTGTATTTTATTTTTCCGATGAAAGATTTTGTTCTTTTGTTTTCTTGATTTTGTTTTTCTTGTTTTCTTTTTTTGATAAATTTTTATTTCTTGTTTTTATAAATTTCTTATTAAACGGGTGTCTATAGCATAAGGTGGACTTAGTTACTAATAGAGTGGATATACAAGGGTAGGCATAGTAGTTTATTAATAAGAAATTAAATGGGACAGAAATAAATATTTTTGGGGTGGGAATAGTCTACGTCACATGATTTTATGTTAGTTAGATTCCAATTTTTTAATTTTGATATATTTGGTATTATTAAGAATTTTGCTTCCATTTTTAAAATGATTAGACTTTTAACATTCTTATTATGTCCT